TTAGCTTTATTTTGTCATTTTGCCTTTTTGTCTTAAATTTTTTATAAGTGCATCATAATCATACATAATAGTGGGATTCTTTGTAACATATTCCTTCATGCATATAAGTTGGTTAATTTCATTTGCCCTGGGTCTTTTCTTCCTCCTTCCCCTCCCTCCCTCTGCTTCCCTTACTCTAATTGTCTCCTTTTTATTTTCATGATTTATTGATTTATTACAAGGAATTAGCTCATGCAATTGTGTAGTCGGCAAGTCCAAAATCTGTAGGATAGGTGGTCAGACTGGAAATTTAAATAAAAGTTGCTAATGTAGTCTTGAATCTGAATTCGGTAGGGCTTCAGGCTGGAAACTTAGTCAGGGTTTATATGTTATAATCCTGAGAATAATGTCTGTTTCTTCAGGAAACCTGTGTCTTTACCTTTTTGACCTTCAACTGATTGGATGAGGCCCATTCATATTATAATGGTATATTTGTCAGCTTTCTGCTACTATGGTGATATATCTGAGGCAATTAACTTATAAAGGGAAAATATCTATTTAGATCATGGTTCTGAAAGTTCCTGTCCAGAGGCCCCATTGATTTGGGCCTCTGCTCAGAGCACAGGAAGGCAATGGCAGGGAGAACAAGGCAGAGCAAACCACTCACATCATGAGCCAGGTAGCAAACCTCCTGAGAGACTGGGGCCATACAATCCCTTAGAGGATACACTCTCTTCCACTATGTCCAATTTCTTAAAGGTCCACAGCACCTCCTAATACTGCCACCATGGGGAATACACCTTTAGCATACAGAAATTTGAGCATCACTGTCCATAATCAAACCATAGCAGAAGGTTATTCTGTTTTATTCAAAGTCTGTTGTCTTAAGGGGTGTTCACATCTTAAAAAAAAAAAACGTTATAGCAACTGCTAGACTAATATTTGACCAAACAACTAGGTACAAGATCCTAGCCAAGTTGACCCATAAACTTATTTGTCATAGCCACAAACCCCAAAGAGGGTGGGAACCCTTTGAATGTGTTGGTTTCTGTAGTGGCATTAATGCCTGGGTCTGCACTCCAGGACAACAACACATTCCAATGGTTCTCTTTCTTTCATCTTATCCCTCCCATCCAGGAGCATTATGAGACAATTGAACAAAAAGGAAGAACTGTGCTTTGTGAGGCGTGCAATGTGGAAAAAGCATTGGTGAACCAAAGGGGGAAGGGACATTTGGAAATCTGGACCCTGTTAGGCCTTGTGAGCCCTTAGAGCCTGTGTAATATTGTAGAATCTACTTCTGTGGGTCTTAGTACCCAAGAGGGGACAAAGTCTATCTGATGTATGCGGGTTCCCTCAAAAACCACGTTCACTTCCTCTTCTCCAATTTAGCAAGATATGAGAAAATAAAGAGAGCAGAATCATGGTTCCCAAATTGTGGCATAATGAGAAGAGTTACATTTAAAAAATGGATTCTTTTAACAGAGTGA